TAGATTATTGTTTTATCTATATCCAAGAAAAAATGTCTTCAGTTAGAGTTATTTTTGTTACACAATAATAAGGTTTCAATTGAAAAGGAAACCGTGGAGGGAGGATTATGAATAGGAAGGGGTAAAAATGGACTGGATCATAATCCGTAACTCCATTGAAAATCGGATTGAATTTGGATCACTACCACAATACGGTCAATGACAGGGCAGAGTCCTCATGCCCAATTCCAGAGCAAATTAAGTAACTGGTAATGGTTGATTTGTGTTTGTGTTTGGATCAGGATCCAACTATATGCAAAGCGGGTGATGCCGTGCTGTGATTACATAATTGGCTGGTCCAAGTATATATATTTGGAATTGGAAAAGGAGTGCATATCAAGAAATTTTGAGACAAAGGTAATGATTAGTGAAGAGAATTGGTAAGTTGTAGTGATTGGTTTACAGGATTCAAATTCATTAACAACTGGCTTTTTATCTCATTCTCTCTGTCTATATATACATATGACATAATCCCCTCTCATCTCTGGGTTATCAAGTTCCGTGGTGATCCACAACTGAAGTCCTTTGGACTATTTTAAGTGTAAAACTTAAAATGTCAAAAACCAAATTGGACTAGGATTCTAGCTGGTATTAGTTCCAGTGGCAGGTGTGCATGAAATTATTTGTAGTATACGCAACGTCTCAAGTCAAAATGTCAAATGTCCACCATTCCTGTTTTCTATCGTCAGATGAAAATTGGGGTGAATATAATTGACCCAGATATTTGAACAAAGCCCAAAATCATTTAAAAATTATCACGCCTAATCTGAATGATGTTTACCATCCCTCTACTGCAAGAAGAGACAACCATGCAGCACCATTTAGTCACTTAGGTGTAAGAAAATAGGTAGGTTGTACCTTAGATCGAATGGATTTTTGAATCAGCTTGAATCAATCCTACCCAATCTATTTTGGATAGGGTCTGGTTTTCTAATTCTTGAAAGTAATCCCACCCTAACCGATTCAAGGTTTAGGAGTTTATGTTATATGAACAATCTGGATGGAAACCGATATGGAACTGAACTTGCCTTATTACAAAATATTTTTGAGGATGTCAACATTTGAACTCAAACATCGATCCCATTTAAGTCGATTCCAAGGCCTAGGGGTTTACTCTACCTGAAGAATCGGCCTTAAAATAAATCTTAAAAATACTTTTGAGGTTGTGAAGATTTGAATTCATGCATTCATGGTTACAAAAACCATGGTGTCACTTCAGAGATTTTATTATTTAGGGGTGTTCATGGGTTGGGTTGGGTCATTTTCTTCAACCGACCTACCTAGTCGGTTTACTTATTGACTAAACCGAAACCGATCGACCTTGAAGCAAAACCAACCTGATGAAGGAAGATTTGGCCTGACCTCGCAAATCACGGCACGTGGCAAAAAAGGCAAGCAGCTCGGCACTCAAGACAGCATACCGAGGGTACAAACGCCGAAGGGAAGGGACCAGCAGGCCCGAGCTCCCTACTTAGTGCCCGAGCTCCCTACTTAGAGGCCCAAGCTCCCTACTTAGTGCCCGAGCTCCCTACTTAGAGCTCGAACTCCCTAGCAAAAGGCCCGAGCTCCCTACTTAGAGCTCAAGCTCCCTAGCAAGAGGCTCGAGCTCCCTACTTAGTGCCCGAACTCCCTACTTAGAGCTCGAACTCCCTAGCAAAAGGCTTGAGCTCCCTACTTAAAGCTCGAACTCCCTAGCAAGACGCCCGAGCTCCCTACTTAGTGCCCGAGCTCCCTACTTAGAGTTCGAACTCCCCAGCAAGAGGCCCGAACTCCCTACTTAGCGATCGGACTCCCTGCAAGGAGCCCGAACTCTCCCCTTTTGACCCCGAGTCACACAAAGCAGGAACCCGAACTGGCCCGCCTTATGACAGTTCGGGGCCTCCCCTTATCCGAACTCGAGACTTACGCACCGCTCTAGGCACTTCGCTGCCGGAGCATTGAACTGGACTAACCACGCCGTACCTGACACCGAAGGAGTCCGTATCCAGGGGCGACGCACCTGACTGACTTGGGATCTGACGCTTGACGGTCGCATTTCCAACGGCCACCTGCCACCGTCACCTGCCACCACTGCCTCCAGTTACAAAGACGGCTCCGACAAAAGGAGCAGTGACGGTTCTGTCCCAGCAGAGGCGATGATGCCCGAACTGGCAGAAGCACGGAAATACTCATTCCCGATCTGACAGGAGTCTAGGAGTGAGTGCGCAAGGTGGTTATAAAAGGCTCTCCACCCCCAAAGAGGAGGTATGCAAACTTTGCGCTATCTAGTTTATCTTGCCTTTGAAAGATTCTAATTTAAGCTTCGGAGCCTCTACACCGGGTTCTCCCCGGAGCTTCTTCATCTCCCCCGTTTCAGGTCCCCCGCTACTCGATTCAGAGGCAAGGTCGTTGACAGCTAAGACCGGCCGGATTGCGCATCATCACAACCCAAACATGAAGGGTCGGTTTGGGTTGGTTTATCAGTTTAGTCAGTTTTTATATATATTTTAAACTAAAATATCTATTTATATTTAAGTTTATTTCCTTTTAGTTTTTGTGCAAAATCAAAATATATATTTAAATCGATTAATTTTTTATGCAAAACTGATTTTTTTGTCAATATATATTTAAATTTATACAAAAATGAATTAAATATTTTACCATTGTATCATATTTGTATTGGTTCTACGTTTCTAGTTTTTATCATATATAACCAATTTTTTTCAAAGTTCAAACAAAACACAAATAAAATATGTCAACATTTAACATATAGGGTAGGGACTAATTAATAATTACTTAAACATATAGGATCGATTTGGTTTTGGTTTTCATGTATGAAAATCGAAACTGAACCGAGTTATCGGTTTATTTTCTCATACAAACCGAACCGATTAGTGGTTTTGAAAAACCGACCAACTTGGCTTAGGTCAGGCCGGTTTGGTCGGTTTGACATTTAATGTGAACACCCCTATTATTATTTTTCTTCAATTTAATATTTGAATGTGCATAATAAATAATGCAAAAGGTAATATTTACAAAATTTAAATTATAATGATAAGTTTGAATTATATTATGATAGCTTACACATTAAATTCCTCAATTTAATCAGTAAAGCTAATGTAAATTTTGAACTATATATTATTATTATTATTATTATTATTGAAAATCAAGTTTTTAAAGAACAATATTATTGCTTTTTTTTATGGGAAGTGGAGAAAAAACATATTCCAAGGATAGACCCTATAACCTTTAAAACAAAAATGGAAACCAAACCTGTCTTAAGCTGCCAATCTGTTTAGTATATAATGTTTTTTTTTTTAAAGGGCTACACAATGGGGGATAAACCATCCCCAACCCAAGTGCAGGTGGGATTCAATCCCAACTCACCATCCAGCAGAAGACCTTACCAACCAGCTGGTTGGCACATAGTGATCATGTCCTTCGCCAAATGCCAATCAAAACCGACAGACAAGCCACAAGACAGAGGTTCAGGTTAGGCTCAGCATTGGCACAAAGGAAAAGTGTCGTTGTTTAGACTCAGTTTGAAAGGAGTACAAATATAAATACATAAAAAATAATACAAAATATAAGGTTTTACATTGTATAAATTTATATTTATACTCTTTCCAAACTGAACCTTAGTTTATTAGAAACTAGTGGAGGAGATGAACCCCGCATTAAACATTCTAAACATGAATTTAAACTGATGACAAAAATAAAGGAAATTAAAGTATCTTCCATGAACTACTGCTTTTAATTTTCTAACTGATTGATTCATCAGACCCCTAGGAACGTAGGGGATGACTATTGTTTTCTTCCTCCTCTAAATCACCCTTTTTAATCTATTTGTACAAAGTATGAGCCAAAATGTCACCACTTACGTCATATCATGAAAATTCACGATTTTGGGACCTACCTCATCTCTCATCTCTCTCCTGACTCTCAGTCTAAATCTCCCTTTGTCCTTGATGATCCACAGAACATGGGAGAAGATTCCTCGAAAATAAACAAGGGGCCATATCTCACGTATGGACAACATGGTCCTACACACTCCTACTAACTCCTCTTCCTTGTGTTGTGTTTCTCCATTCCGTCCCCATCATGTTGTTGCTTCACACGCCTCTTTCTTCTTCCCTTCTCTATATAGATGAAGACAATACAAATTAGACTTCAAAGCAAGGTTCAAGGCATATCGGCCATTTTAATACTTGTTTTTTTATTTTTTTTAAAACTGGTTCAAGAAAACTGATTTACGACTCCTTCTTCCCTTGAATCGGTCAGACCTCCGATACACCTATTATAGAGGCATATCAGAAGAGTCTCAGAATGATACATACCGGCCAATACGGGCCGATACATCACGATAGCTTTCAAGTTCAAACCCCATAAATAACACTCAGATAATACCCACCCTCTAATTAATCAATTATACCTCTATGATGAACAATTGATCCTTGGATTATTGTATAAACCCACCTCTTCCCCCTTGTTCTTGTTCAACCACAAATATATAACATTTACATATAATAATAAAACCTCTCCCACGTATTGACAGCCATACATCTGGCAAGTTTATCGTCTCATCCTCAATCACAATAACTCCACTTGTCACATGACTCATAATGGATGTGTCAACCTGTCTTTATACTTTCGAGTGGGCCACACCCCTCTCACTCATTGATTGTATATGGTCTCCTTTATATCCCATAATCCCATTCCACCAGTTGTCACGGGTCCAATTGCCACCTACTAATCTATTATTAATTGAATTGATGATCATTACTCTTTCTCTTTCACGTTTTCGCTCCTCGTCACATGTTTCGTTCTTACCCAACCACAATAATTCAAGAAATACTAGTTAAGGGCTTAAGGTTTGTTTGTGTCGTTCCTATAAAATTAATACTTCATGTGTTTTAAAATTCTAACATTTATGAGCTTACAGCCAAACGTGCCACCTAAAACAAAGATTCAAAGAATATGTGGAATCAGGGGGTGTGGCTACGGCCTTCCACTTTCCCTCCACTATTTAATGTACAAACGCACGCAAACGATCTCTCACACTATTTCTCCTTAATTATCCTCCGTCTTCCCGTCGAACGTTAACCTCTCCCTCTCCGGCGGCCAAATGAATGGTGGTGATCACCATCACCCAGTAGCAGTAGGTCATTCTCCCCCTGATGAAGACCCCAAAACACCGCTCTTACCAGTCCAGAACCCCATTCAAAAGTCGCCCCCAAGCTTCTACTCATGTCTCCGATCAATTTTCACTGCCAACAACTGCTTCATACTGTTAGGACCCTTATCATGCGCCCTTATCTGCATTTTTGTCGACCTCAATGCTCCCAAGACAAGCCGGAACATGTTAGCCATTCTGGCCTGGGTGTTCATATGGTGGCTCACCGAGGCCGTGCCCATGCCCATCACCTCCATGACTCCTCTCTTTCTGTTTCCTCTCTTCGGGATTTCTTCTGCCGATGCTGTCGCTCAATTCTACATGGACGATGTTATCGCCCTCGTCCTAGGCAGCTTCATACTTGCTCTTGCCGTCGAGCACTATAACATACATAGGAGATTGGCCCTGAATGTGAGTTTCAAACTTCAATATCAATATGGGGAGTTAAGGAATTAATTATCTGAGTTGCAATAAACTGTTTAATTAATTCTTGATTATACATTTGACGTATTCTACCCTGCCGTTTGCTGATATGATAATAATTTGACCAAAAAACAAGTTTCAGTCCAATGATCTGGAAACTTTTCCTACTCTTCTACTCTTGATCGCGTCCATGTATGCATCTGTCAATAAGTGAAATCTCTTACACATACATCCGAATAAGCATTTGGTGAATTAATATTTGAGCCATACATTGTTGTGCGACGGTACAGATAACCTTGTTGTTCTGCGGAGACCCATTGAATCCACCTCTGCTGCTCCTCGGGATCTGTGCCACGACCGCATTCGTCAGTATGTGGATGCACAACGTGGCAGCAGCGCTGATTATGATGCCGGTGGCCAGCGGGATCCTGCAGCGTTTCCCTGTGGGAGTCGACAAATCGGACGCCACCGCCCGATTCTGCAGAGCGGTGGTTTTGGGGGTGATCTATTCGGCAGCCATCGGAGGGATGAGTACGCTGACGGGTACAGGTGTCAATCTTATACTGGTGGGGATGTGGAAGAGCTACTTCCCAGAGGCAAATCCCATTAGTTTCAACACCTGGTTCTTCTTTGCATTCCCTTTGGCTTTGTTGATCTTCTTCGCTTTGTGGGGGATACTCTGCTTGCTTTATTGTTCAAAGGGTTCTGGAAACGCTCTTTCCGCTTACTTGGACAAAGCCCATTTGAGAAGGGAGCTTGAATTGCTTGGTAAGTCGCTTTTTCAGGGCGACCGAACATTCTTTTAGCATATGATAAGAGTAGTTTGGCCGGAGAAGTAAGTCGTTTTGTTACTGTTTGTTTTTTTTTTCACGCGCAGGCCCAATGGCATTTGCCGAGAAGATGGTCCTGGCAGTATTCTCGGTATGGATAGTAACATTCACTGGAAGAGGTTGGTTTAAGTATTTGAAGTTATCCTACTGAACTAATAATGTATATGTGTGTATGCACCCAGATGCTCATAGCTTTGTGGATGACAAGAAGCATAACAGATGACATTCCTGGATGGGGTGCCCTCTTTCAGGGTCGGGCGGGTGATGGAACAGTTAGTGTAAGTAAAGCTGTTAAGTCACTTGGGCAAATCACGAAATCGATGGCACCCGCTGATGCCTGATGGGTTCTCTTCTCCCCTAGAAACCCAGCTGCACGGCTTCATCCAAGGCTACCCAACTGGGTGATTGGAATTTGGGACCGTCCAGTCTGATCTTGGGATAGACACAGGAATTCTATCAAACACCCATGACCCCCAACTGGCAATTAGTTACTAGTTCATGTAGTTTTAAGGCTTTAAGCATTTTTAATTTTGATTTTGTGTAGGTGATGGTGGCAACGCTATTGTTCATAATTCCAAATAAAAAGCAGAAAGGAGAGAAGTTGATGGACTGGAACAAATGCAAGAAGCTCCCATGGAACATCATATTGCTACTAGGGGCTGGTTTTGCCATAGCCAATGGTGTCCGGACAAGCGGCCTGGCAGACGTGTTGTCTGCAAACTTGGAGTTCTTGGAGAATGCCCCATACCTCGCCATTACTCCGGTCGTCTGTCTCATTAGCGGGATCATCACCGAATTCACATCCAACAATGCAACCACCACTCTCCTCGTCCCACTGCTCATACAGTTGGCAGACACCATGCGTGTACACCCCCTCCTCCTCATGGTTCCAGGAGCTATCGGTGCCCAATTCGCCTTCTTGCTCCCGACCAGCACCCCTTCAAACATTGTAGGATTCACTACTGGGCACATCGATATCACAGACATGATCAAGACAGGATTGCCTCTTAAAATCGCCGGAATCGGTGCAATCTCCCTTCTAATGCCTACATTAGGTAAGGATTCTTCTTCATTTTCTTTTGCCTTTGCTCTTCTCTCTCTAATTGAATAGATTCATGCCCAGCATATGACCATTTTCTATAACAGAAGAATTTTGGTCAATTATCAAATTCTTGTTGTGTTACAATTTTCATTTCCAAGTCTATCGTTCAAGGATTCTACGAGGCATTTTATATTATCCTGGTGTTTGTAGGAGCATATGTATTTGGGACAAATGGGCAAGTACAACAGCTATCAGGTTGGTGGAAATGTAGCATTTGTTGAACAAGCCACGAAGAATTGCTTGCTGTGTCCAAAGGATGAGCCAGCCCTTTGTCCGAGAATTTTTCATGAAAGAAGTATTGCTTCCTCGCTGAAGGATCACAGAGCATTGACCGGATGATTATCGAATCGAATTCGACAGAATTCAGTTCCACCCATGTTTTGATATAACATTTTTTATACAAAAGAAAGAAAAAATTATCAGTGCTGTTTAAACCATGTAAGATTATAAATAGAGTTGATCGAATAATAGAATGACATTTGTATAGTATCCCAAACTTGAAACCAACAGAGGGCTGGCTCGTTGCTGTGTTAGCTGGGTGTTCCAGCATTGACGCAGAATCAAGTCCCGCAACCAGGACTTTGGGGAAAAAAGGGGAAAGTTATGGGTGTAAAAATCTTGCTTCATTCTACCAAAAAAAAAAAAAACTTGATATAGTAATTGATCAATGCTTGTTTTGCTACATATTTCTTTATTGGCACCCCTTGTGTGGGACTGTTTGGGTGAAAGAGCAAACATACTCTGTAAGCTCTAAAATGACGAAGTGTTCCCTGTGGCAGACTTGATTCTGCTGATAAATGCATCAATGGTAATGATTCCAATCTCCCCTCCGTAGATCTAACTCTGAGTGCTTCAACTTCTTTGGATCCCACAATTGCCAGGTGCTCACCCTAGCAGACTTCTGCTCGGATACTACCACTTTTAGTTGATTAGTCACCTCATGACAGTATTCAAGCTGCAATATCCCTCCATTGGAAACAATGAGATAATGAAAGCAAGAGGACGACCATGATTGACCACCATCATGATACATGCAATGACAACCCAATACTACGTTAAAGGAGCCATGATGTCTATAAAAGGTGGTTGACATCATGATCAACGGCCCAGGATTTTGTAGCAATCCTGGCTGTTCTCCTTCAGTAAAAAGCAAGAAAAGAGGACGGCTTTCAACAGTCCAACCTCCCCCTCTTCCCCAAGATGCCAGATGGAATTCCCTTTCTCACAACTACCATACTAACAAGGCCTTCGCTACAGTCTCCTATTTTGTGGAAAGTTCCAATCGATAAGACTAAAAACTAATTCATGGACCAGCTCTCAATCAGTTGTTTCCCAAATATCTCACCTGTTGAATTGTCCTATATGAATTGCCTTGTTTTTCTACAGTTGTCTTTTGTGCATAGTTGTCAAGACGACGCCTAGGTGGGCACCTTGGAGGCTCTCCTCGCTCAGTCACCAATCAGTTTTGCATACTGTGTAATAAAATACTTTTATATTGTTATTTTTTTAGATTATAATTATAAAATAGACATTATTAAAGAAAAATATTCATTTTTTGTGTATATAAATTAATTTCTTTTTATTATTTTCTTATTTGTTAGGATTTAATCAACACAAACATTGCTAACTGCTGTATATTGAACCCTCAATGACTTCAAAATCTGAACCAATAAGTAAGGGAAGAACTTAAAATTTTGTCTAATCAACACATTTCTTCTTCTTCTTCTTCTTCTTCTTCTTCCACCTTTTCTTTTCTTTTCTTCTTTTCCTATAACAAAAATAGGGGTTCAGCCCCTATATTTTTTGAATTTTCTTTCCTTTCTTCTTTTTCTTCTCATAAATATGTTGATTTTCTAGACTTAAACATGAAGTTTATAAAATTATGAAAATTATGGATAGTTATTAATAAAGTTGGTTATGGAACCTAGGGAACTACCCTAGGATATGTGATTTTTACTTAAAAAAATCCATCACCTAGGCGGGCGTCTAGGCGACTAGGCAACAAGGTGCCCCCTTGTCGCCTAGCCTCACCTTGGCACCTTGAAAACTATGATTGGGGTAACTGTCGACAAGCAGCCTGGCTGACGAAGTAGAATCAAACAACATTTCTCTATACAAAAATGTCAAAGAGAAGTAAACAATGGCAAGAAAGCATGTGATTGGGGTAACTGTCAAACTAAAATAGTCCACCAAACACAATTTTTGGCTGGGTTGGACTTGTGCTTCATGTATCAGGTTGAATTGGGGTTGAAAAACATCAGTCTATTTGATGTTAGGATGGACTCATTTGAAGCTTTGTGGAACCCAATCCAAACCAACCTATTCTATGTTTATTAACATATTAAGAGAATACTCAGCTTGGTTCAACCTAGATCCAAATGGTTTTAGGTTTAGGTGCAACTCTTTCTTTTATGTGTGAGTTGTGCTTAGGAAAAGTTTTTGTTTCATCCCTCCATGTTAGACTTGGATTCCTGTCAACCTGACCCAACCCAATATTGCTGCTGCAAGTTGATTCAACTCATCCAAGCTGCAAATCAATTAAATGGATTCAAAACCCCAATTCAATGATTTTATATCTAGTTTAGTGTGTATTAGGAACTTGCCTGTACAGTTGAGAACTGCCACTTAAGAGAGTATTCCTGATAGCTCATATCAGTAAACAGTTCCCAGTTCAACAACCCTGATTGGAAAATCCCTATATAAGTGCACCTTCCATTTGCAGACCAGAATATGGTAAGGGCAATTCATAGGCCGGAGTTGATAGAGTTCATCCTCCATATTCATTGATCATACATATTTTCTCTGTAAAATTCCAGATGACTGCTGATCCTGCCGAATCTGCCCTTGCCTCACATAGAGTGTATAGAAGCTCACAACCATGTTGTACACGTATTCTCTTCCATAAATCTTCTATGACATGTTTATGGCATCTTTTGATTCCAGAAAACCAACCCTCCCCCTGCTTAATCCTGCAAGAGCTGAGCTCCTTAGAAAATGTAATTTCTTCTTTCCTAGTCTTCAAACTAAATGGCATCCCATATATGAAGCCTCTTTACATGTATATCAGTAAATTCAGTACAAGCGTACAAAGGACTGAAGTAGGAGCCACACTGCCCAACTATCAAGAATGCAGGCATACTTGAAGACAGAATGACATTACAAAGACAAATTTCCAGAAGAATAAAAGATAAGAATAAAATACAAACATATTTATTCTCTAGGAACAATCTGGAAAAGTTCCACCAGTTTGATGATTATAGTCTAACTAATAACCGAGGTTTGTACTTTCCATGTTTCTTTAAGCTACATTTTCTATGTTTTCCCATACCTCTCTCTCTCAGTTCTTGAGAGTTGATAAAACCCCCAGGAGAAAGAAGAAAATAAAGAAGACATCATAGAACTATCTGAGATGTATGTTGTTACAATATGACACGATATAATTATGACAAAGAGCAAGAGTAATAAAGATTATCCACAATGATCACATTTTACCTCCATGAGTTCGCTTGCAATACCATATTTGGAATAACTTACACAAGCATGAAAAACAGGTTCAGATAAATAAAGTATAATTTTTACCTGGCATCTATGACCCCAGCATTTTACCTCTCCTTTGAAGTTATGCTTTCAACTGGTCTTCAAACTCCCTTGCTGTACCATAGATCCTCTGCAGCACAGGCTTTATTCATCCCCTCTCCAGTAAACCACAGCAGCAGATTCAAGTTCAACGGCTTTCTTGTTTTTATTGCCTATAGAATGAACATGGGATTCAGCACAGAGATCCTACATTCATTTCCTGGACAAAACATAGTGAGAAAAGCCCACAAATACATTAGGAAGCATATTGATTGAAAGCTTGAGAACAAATACTTGTATAAATAATATCCTTTAGAACTAAACACTGCCACACCACCCTTAAAAAGGACATCTTTTCTCAGATGAACTGAAAAAAAAAAAAACAAACAAACAAAACAAAACAAAATATGCAGGAAGAACCTTTAGATAAACTAGATAATATTTTTTCATAGAAAAAGCATGCCAATGGCAACAGGATTTGCATCTAAAGAAGCTTCTCTGTTAAGTTTCTAAGCCAAATCTTGTCTCCAATGTCAGCAATGAGTATGTAAAAACATGAAGCATGCCCACCTTCAGAACCATTTTGCAACAGAAAAGGGAAACAAAGTCCTCCATCTTTTCCATCTCTCTGGAGACATTAAAATATAAATTCAACTTTCTGTCTAGGGGGTTTTCCTATTGACCAAAAAAATATAGCAGGAAGCCTCTCGCTTAAATGTTGATAAAAAATAGATGTTGACATCAAATGAAACCCATACAAATAGGCAGCAAGTTCACCAAGTTGCTTCAAGCTGGTTATATGATTTCAGAAAGAGACGTCATACTCTGTCAAAGCTAATCTTCAATATGTACAGTCAAAAATTGATGATACCAATGCTTTGAAATTTCCTACATTAATTTGTTTTCACTGTTAAGTTGATTGTGTTGATCAAGTCATAAGATGTATATGACCTCTATCTAAAAGTTATTTCGATGCTTCAATGGAGACTAGAACATTGCATATAAGCTATAAAGCAGTAAGAATTTAGGAAAGGGAAAAAAGAAAAAGAATAAGAAATAAAGTTCAACGAAGTCAAGAAGACTGACCAATGATATATGGTGATTTCATCTTCCTTGATGCTTTATGATGAGGGTAATTTGGTCCTCCAATGATATAATGAGTTCATGACACGTGGCATCTCGGAACAGCTGGATGACACTTCCGCACCACGTAAGCAGATCACCTCAGACACTTTATAACTGCACCAATGACCTCGGGGCCTCCCCGGTAGACCGAACTGTGAATAGCTAGATGGGATCTCAGGTCGGTGTATGATGTGACCTGCTTCCAATAGACTGCCCGGGTCCCGTCAAGACGTCAGGTCAGCATGAGAGGTGACCCGCGTCTGCTGACTTGACCTAAGTTCAGCTAGTGACCTGCCAGGTAACCTCCTCCTCGAGTGAGCTATCGTCTCCGACTTCTCCGGGATCACGACGCTCAACCATTAGACCCGTCTTTCCGCATCGTCCGCATTGGAGTTGATCGGATGGACCTTATCCCTCTGTATGGATCACATATCCGGCTGAGAAATCTCCTGTGAACATGGTGGACACGGTTTCCCGGGAATCTCGAGCACGTTACAGGAAACTCCTGGTTTCTTATGCCTATATAAAAGTGTCCCCTCCCTCAGAGAAGGTATGCACGATTCAGCTCTCAAACACTCTAGCTCTCTCCAAAATCTGGCTAACTTAAGCATCAGAAAACTCGCCAGCTCTGCATCCGAGTTGCCCTCCAGCAGGGAGCTGCCAGATTGCACATCGTCACTTTCCAAAATCTCCATGTTGTAAGGCTCATCAATGGCCATTGTTCTTTTCTTAGCTTCATCTCTGGAGATTTCTTCTTAGCGGTTAATTTCAGCTAATGATCCGATCCTACAGATGATTTACGAAATTAATTCAGTACACTGAAACTACAAACTAATGAATGTTTTCCAAGCCATGCACGACCTTCTACCACATTTAAAAAAAAAACTCAGAACGCCTAAAAAATAAATAAAAGAATCAAATCAAGTCAAATATTGTGTTTTTTTTTTTCTTTTTCTGATCATCTATTTTAAAATCCTTGTCCGTTAATGGTTCTATATCGAAGTCATAACAGAACCCATTCTCTATCCACGGTCTAATGGTCACTTAAGCGACTGGGAAGAGTTTCTAAACAGCCATGGCTATTAGATGTGCACACAGCAACTTAACGCAAATTTCTCCTATCAAAACATAATAATATAAAACAAACGATGCCGAAAGAAAATGTTTTAGTCAAAAGATGCATTCCAATTTCGAAAAGACCGACATGGCATTATAGTTTTCCATACTAAAATTTATGATGTAGCTTGAATGAAGATTCAAAATGTCAATGCTCAAAGATGAAATTTTTGCGCAGCATGTTGAGTTGATCAAGTTCATTGTAATATGCGTTTCGTTTTGAGCTACCAAAAACTCTAAGAAATAGTTATAAGTAATAAGAACAAGCTATCTGAGTCGTATTTTGTGCACAAGAAAGACAAAGGGGATCAGCAGTATGACTAACAAATAGCCGTGTTTCGGATTCTCAACAATTTCTATGATGAACCGTCAGTAGGAAGAGTGACTTTCTCTTATGAATATGTTGCTTACCCAAAAAAAGGAAGAACGACTTTGCCCTCCTGGGGATTTCTTTTCGGAAGTTTCTCTTCAGCTACAATTGCAGTCTTCGATCAATCGATTGCAACTGCTAAGGAAGCTGTGGAGATTCTTTTGTTATTCTTACTCTGTGCATAGGCCCCAATTTGTCGGCGGAGCTTCGTCTCTAATTCGAAACAAAGACTAAAAGACCTTTAGCGTCTGTTTGATTGCTGAGAAATTTGGTTTATTTTCTCAGTTAATCATAATGTATTTGTTTGCTGAGAAAATTTTTGTGAGAAAATCCACTTTCTAGTATTGGTTTTATAAGAAAATTTTTTTGAGCTAGTTGTCGCCAGCAATCAGAGATAGAACTTCGGATCGTCGCCAACAAGATTGGATCCAGAAATCCGAAATTGCTAGAGATTTCAACTGTCCTGAGATAGCCAACAACCATTGAGACACGAAATTAACCATCGTGAGGTAGAGATCGTCGGATTCGTCGTCGGCATCAGCGTCAGGTATCCCCCAAAATGGTTTTTCAACGCCAATAGAGCCACCGAGTTCTCTGGATTGCTCGCCACAAGGATCGCAGTCTGCTTCATTATGATCTTTGGCGTGTTCAACTGTTCCATGCTGGGATGGCGCATCTTTAGAATTCCTGGCAATGGTTGGCTGGGATTGGGGCTCAGAAACGAGATAGAGCTTTCTCCCATTTTGTTTGGAACAACCGCTATCTCCAACGCCTTCCTCTTGTTTGAAATCAAGGTTAGGGTTGGGATTTGAGCTAGTGGGGGCGGTGGTGCTGGAGATGCGAGACTGAGCTTTCTCCCATTTGCAGAGGAGAATCCTGAAATCTTTGAGGGAAATGCGAGGGATTGGCATGAGCCATCGCCGAGGGACGTCGGGCACCCTGTGCAGGTTACCTCTGTACAGTGAGATTGCCACCATCTTGTTACTCGAATATCGATTGATCAAAAACGACGACGACCGCCCTTCTGTTCTGTTTCCTGTCGCTTCCTTTTATTCGGAATTTGGACTCTCGACTTTCGATCTCGGATTTTGCCCCTTTTCCTCCTCTTTTGGTGTTTCTCGGCCGCCTGAAGGCGAAGGGCGCCACCTTCGTGAGGGAATGCCTTTTTTCTTCGTCCGATTGGAATCTATTTTACACCGCATCCCACCTTGTATTAGATTGCTCAGCTTGCATTTTCTTAGTGTTTTCTTTTCTCACCGGGGTCACACTGTTTTGGTGCGACCCCGCTCACTTAATTTTGGGATCCCGTGTCCCTCTTGTTTCTCATCCCAAAACACTGTTTACCAATAAACAAACACAAGAAAGGAAGAATAATTCGGGAATATTCCCTTTTCTCATTCCTTTCTTTGCAATCAAACAGACCCTTAGAGGAGGGAAATCGAAAAGCGGATTTTAATTTGGGGCTTACGCCTTAAGCCATCTCAAGGCTTACGCCTCGCCTCTTTAGCACCCAACCGCCTCGTCTCCGCCTTTATTCTTTTAAAACCTTGGTCTCAAGTGGAACAGAGGAGGCAAAAAAGGGGTGATAACCGAGAAAGCGGCATTGGCTGGGGAAGATGGTTGTCTAAATAGCTCTAAGGCAATTTTTATATCTACTAGTCAGGACCTGAGTTTATTTATAAGCAAAATTGAAGATGGAATTTTATGACATTTATAATTAAATGGTGTCCATCTAAATTCAATTCAAGTATTATTTTTAGGGGTTCTATCTAGTTTATTCAATCACAATCTAAGCTATTCTTTAATGAGAGTGACCAATTTCCTATTCCCTAGATAAATTTGTATTGTTTTTCTTGTATCTTAATGCTAATTTTTATTAATTTGTTATTAGTTTATTATTATTTTTTGTTTATTTTTAGGTAAAATTATAAAAAAAAAGAACCCTCTTGTAACAATTTTATAAACCACCTTTGTGTTTTGACCCTAACAAAAGCCTCTTCTATAGTTTTGAGAAAAAAAAAGTTTAAATACCTCCTTTCCCTTGGCTTTTTGGTAACGAAAACATTAAAGTTAGCAAAATATCCTTATCATTGTTAATGTATTAACATACATAATTTAAAGTTTCAACTTTATCCTTCACTAATATATTTTTCCAAACAACTTTCAAAGAATAATTGCCCTTAGTCATCTTGGACAAAGTAAGGTAAAAAGGCTGAAGTGAAGTAAAATTAATGCATTATATCAACATCTTTTATTCAGAATGTTGATGAAAGGAAGGTATTTGCATCTTTTTCAAAACTATAGGGAAGGTTTTATTAAGGTCAAAACATTGGAGAGTTTGATAGAATTATTAGAAAACCCTATGAGGTTTTTGTAATTTTCCTTTTTCTTAAATGAAAACAATTAAGGAGATTTTAAAACAATTAAACTATATTTAAGATTAATATTTTTATTAATTTTTAAATTATTAAAAATTGAATTTATTTAAGTATATTAAGTTTTTATTAAATTTAAATTCCTTATGAAATTTAATTAACTATATAAATTTTTATTTTTCAATGGAACTTAATTTGGTTTTAAATTAATAAAATTTAATTATAAAACTAATAATTGTTTGATTGTTTTGTATTAGTTTTATAATTAATATTAAATCGGTATTAGTTTTTAATATATCTTATTCCTTTTATTAATTAAATTTTTTTATTATATTAATAAAAATAATTATTAAGTAAATTACTAAATTATTTTTAATATGGTTATTATTTTTTATTATTTTCAAATGGAATATATATGGATTATAATTTTAAATGGAAGTAGATTATTTAGTGCAATAATATATCATTGAATATCTCAATTTCAATATAAGTAATCTTACTAATAATTACAATGTAATGCAAATATATCTAATATACATATATATATATATATATAATTAAAATGAAATGGATATATATAGATAAAGTTAACGTATTTTATGCAATTTAATAGAGTAATGGAGATGAGAGAGAACTAGTGGCATAATTTATTGAAGGAGTGAGTTAAAGGGATAATTAATGAGGAGAGAGAGAGAGAGAATGGTGTATTAATGAGGAGTTTTAAAAGTCTTAAAGGTAATTGGTCACTTAGTTATTTTGTTCACTTTTAAAATTAGAAAATTCAAAAAAAAAAACTAGAAAAAAGATAGATACCTTTGAGAAGAAACCAGAAAAAATATAAATGAATTTAAAGATAAATCACAAAGCAGGAAAGTGCCAACTTGGCACATTCCATTTTAATATATAGATATAGATAATATCTATAAGTATCAAGTAATAAAGAGTTTTCAAGTATAGTATAATTCTCATTCTAGGTGTAGTGTTTTCAAGTATTAAATTTATTTTGAGACTAATCAACTAAGGGGTAGCCCATTGGTGCATTGGATGAATTGTCCCAATAGTGGTGTGGTTTTGAATCCCATTATTATGATGTTGCATTGTTTATTTAAAAGAGTAACGATCCCTATGGGGTGTTAGGCAGTGATTAATACAAAAAAAAAAGGTTTTGTTTTGGGATTGGTGTTTCTTGAACTTTTGTCTATTTAGTTAAAAGGGGCTCTTGTAACGTTCTGATTTTGTTTTGGTTTTAATAGTTGTTTTCCTTCCATTGTGGTTGTAAAAAAGTGCATTCTACTCTATGTTATTTTTGTTAATTGTTTAGAGTCATGCTATATTTTGTTTTTAGAGTGCTAAATTTTGTTTTCACTATATCACTAATGTAAGCTAAAACCAATGGCCCTTCATAGCAACTATACTTACGAATTTCAGATTTCTATTAACAGAGTTTTGTTGCTTCTATTACAAGTTTCTTTGAGGTTCCTTGATAGAGATTTTTTTTCTACATGTTTTTTAGGATTCTTTTTCAGTTTTTTCTTCCATTTTTTCTTTTTTATTTGATTTTTCTTTGTATTTCCACGATGGTATTGGTTAAGAAATATTACCATGGTATTTCAAGGAGAAACACATTTATTTGATTTTTTCTTTTTCAGGTGTTTGGTTAGGTTTACATTTATTCAATAAATGTTTTGTACTTGTGTGATTCTAAAACTGAATAACACATTTAACGAAGGCATTTATGACACATATGCACCACATCAAAATGCCAATAAAAGCTTATTAGTTTCAGATAGCTCCAAAATGAAGCTTTTTGAAATGGGAGAGGCATACAAAAACCGAAGTTTGCTTTTGTAAATTTCGATACACACAAATACAATTAATGAGGCATTTGCTGATGGGCTATGTGACACCATCAATAAATGTTTACTCAATAAATGTAAACGGAACCAAACATATATTTAATAAATGTAGAACTTTTCTATATGGTAAATATGCATCTTTGATCATGTGCTTTCGAGTGCCTACATAAATTTAAACAAAACTCAATATGTTTTAATTTACAGAAAATACGAATAGGTCTAATGCAAATTTTTTGTTCCCACTGCAAAGCTATAAACATTCAGAAGGTCCAAAAACCGCATTCTATGCATCCATACCCACCCGTGAGTTGGCATCACTTCCGAACTGACACCTACCCCAAATGTACTTTGAGCCTACAAATTCTGACCCTGGGATTATCAGTCATTCTCCCTTTAATTTATGTTTCTTATTACCCACTCATTTTGGGCCCGTTTGGCATCACTTCGAGAATCAATTATGGCCATTCTCTCGATTCTGCAGTGGAGAATTGTGTTTGGTGCTCAATTCTCTCCCTTTGAATTCTATCCAGAATGGAAAAAAGGCACTCTTAGGAAGTGATTCTCAAAAGCAAAAAAATTCAACTTCTCACCAATCCTCGCTGTCTTTTTCAAGTTTAACGAACACACGTGTGCTAGAGCGCACGTGAAAGAAGGGTTGTGTCGGTCATTTCACACAAAAATAAAATTAAACCCTAACCCGTCTTCCATCTCTTCTACCTACTCTAATTTTTAACCATTGAAACCCTCTCTTGGAGTCTGCTACGCAAAGAAACTCACACATTACCCATTCTCACAATCAATCTCAAGTAAGAATGTAACCATTTTGATCCCTTTTTTATTGTTTAATGTTTTTTGTTTGCTGGTAAAAGCCTCACCATGAGATTGATTGCCGTTCGAACCATGGAAAGCCCTCATCTCATTCGAAAACCCTTTTGTTTTATACCAATTCATTCAAAATTGAATCTGTTTGAGTTT